AGACCACCTAGTCACCGAGTATATTAATCGCAAGGGGTATTTCTCTATGGTTCTCCAGGCGCTTGTGGATCACTGTGGGCATTTCATGGACATTAACGCAGGCTGGTCCGGAAAGGTACATGACGCATGCATCTTTCGGAACACTGGCCTGTTCAGGAAGCTGCAAGCAGGGACTTTCTTCCCAGATCAGAAGATCGCTGTAGGGAAAGTAGAAATGCCAATTGTGATCCTGGTAGGCTGGACCTGGCCGATGACAATATTCCTACGCTTATAGGTGCGTGCTGTATGCTCCATAATATTTGTAAAAGGAAGGGTGAAAGCTTCACTCAGGGCTGGACCGCTGAGTTTCAGCGCTTGGAGGCTGAATTTGAACAGCCAGAGACCAGGGCTATTAGAGGAGTGCAGTGCGGGGCCATAAGGATCAGAGATGCCTTGAAGCAGGAATTTAAAGCTGACAGCCACTAATATTTGTTGCTATGCTCGGGAGTGCAGTGCTTGTAATGCTAGGAGGTGATTGTGATTGGTGCAGACGATGCACTATGAAGGCTTAAGAAAATTTCCTGTTGCTTTGCAGGGCTCTGTTTGCTTTCAGTTAATGGAATAAAGATTGCTTTCAAACCAACACAATTCTTTTATTAAAAAACAACAACCAGAGGAGAGAGACAAAAAAACACACCAGCACTGAGGGGGATGGAGGAAGGGAAGGTCCCAGGAGGAGGTGGGGTCCCGGGACAGTTAAAGATTTGTGTATGTTCAGGTGTCATATGCAACCTTGTCCTTTGGAGTACAGTGCAGTGAGTGCTGTACTTCAGCAGGGCTAAACTGCAGAGGGACGGGTGTTGAGTGCAGTGGGTAGTGGGAGGCCGCAGTGCTGGACTGTGACGGGGGAGGAGTGGAATGCTGCGGGTACAGACTGGAGCCAGGAGGTTGATAAGAGTGTGTTGGCAGTGTCTGGGGGGGGCATGGGAAAGAGTTTTGCGGCTGCAGGGGATGTCGGTCATGGAGCTGCTTGGTTTGCAGTGCGTAGTGCTTGGAGCGTGTCCGCTTGGCGCTCCATAATATTTAAGAGCTGCTCTATGGCTTCATTCTGGCGCACCGCATTTTCCTTTTGGTCCATCTTCTTGCTGTCCCGCCACTCCTTCAGTTCCTGTTTTTCAGCTGCAGAGTGCATCATGACCTCACACAGAAAGTTCTCCTTAGTTCTTCGTGGCTGCTTTCTAATTCTGCGCAGCCGTTCAGCTGGCGTTAACAAAGATGGAAACTGGGCTCCCAAGGTCATATCTGTGAAGCCAAAACACAACATTTTACAGAAGCAGTATTGTTTGCAACACACAGACCACTGATTTAGTGATTTAAAACACAGCCACTATTCACATACCTGTCCCTAACTGGCTGACCCCAGGCAAGCACAGATGAGCCACAAGACCCCCAAAATGGTGAGTAGCCGCAGGGGAAATCTGTGTTCCCAGACCCTACTGTACACTGGCCACATGGCTCTTGGGGCCCCACATTTTCCACAGGCTGTGTTCATTATGGAAGATATCTCGTTGCTGAGGATGAGCAGGGAATCAACGGAGGGTCTTCTCCAAGACTGCTTATGCGGCTCGCCTGTGTGCAGCAATGGTGTGTCCACCCCCACTCCCCCAGTGATGGCAACGTGGCACGGGAAAGTTACACTTAATGGGGTTAAGAAACAAAGCAGCTCTGCCAAAGAACCTGTGGCAGTGGATTGCCCAGTATCTCCATGAGCGTTTCCTGGAGATCTCTGAGGCAGATTCCTGTGAAGTGAGGGAATCAATCAACAGCCTGTTCTGGCACTCAGACTAGGCACGTGGTGGTACGCGCATCATACAGACACAAGCCTGCTTTCTGCAACCCTTCTGCCCCCAACAACTCGCTTCAGCAATTCCCCAAATCAAAGCCACTTACCAGGGGACTCCTCTCCTGTTTACGCTTCGCCAAGCTCCAACAGCTGTGACTGGCTAGCCTCCTCCAGGGTAGAGAAGAGCTCCTGGCTGCATGCATCTCTGGCCTCAGAGTTGTCCTTCGCCTCTGGGTCCCTCTCCCGCTCCACATCCTCGTCCAAGATTTCATCCTCCTGGCTTGGTCCACTCTCGACTGGCACGTGAGCCAGTGAAGTATCCATAGTGGAGGTGGTATCGCCACCGAGTATCACGTCCAGCTCTTTGTAGAACCGGCAGCTCATGGGCGCAGCAATGGAGCGGCGGTTTGCCTCCCATGCCTTGTGGTAGGCGTTCTGCAATTCCTTCACTTTGACCCTGCACTGCAGTGTATCCCGATCATGGCCCCTTTCTGTCATGCATCGTGAAATCTGTCCGTAGGTATCATAATTCCTGCAGCTGTAGCGCAGCTGGGACTGGACAGCCTCCTCTCCCCAAATGCTGATGAGGTCCAGCAGCTTGGCATTGCTCCAAGCTGGGGATCGCCTGGTGCGTGGAGCAGTCATGGCCACCTGGAACGATGCTCTGAGACCATTGCACGCATCACCGAGC